CAGTCTGTGGCCTTACAAAGGCTGCCTCAGCCTCCGAAGTACCGTGAGTTAATGTTCGGTACCAGGCTCCACCGTGGTGCAGCCGGGGTGATGGATACCGCTTACCATGTCAAGCAGTATTTACAGAAAGAGTTAATGTTGTTTCTATTGTGTTGATACAAGGAGGGAGCTGTAGATAGGGAGGACGGATGATGGAATGTGACTGGTGAAAGTATGATTGCTTTTCACATTTTTACTTCATCTTACCGGCAGTAGATTGTTGCTGTGAAGTAGAAATACCACTCCTCCAACATTTTAGAGAAAAGCTGCCTTGATTTGTGCTTGATTACCGTTTCAGGATGGTTTAAACCGTAGACTATAGATTTTACGGTTTAAACACGGGGTTGGAAGGCTTTTCTTTCTTTTTCAAAGGTTGAACTTTTCCAAACCGTTATGAATTAAAGTTGAAACTGCAACATTTAAAGATGATACAGATCATAGTGTTGTAAGGTAAACTGCTGTTTAGGGGCTTGGTTTTCAGTATTGACAATAAATTCATTATATTCTACAAATAAATGTTTAACTCTAGGTCCACTTACAGCATTTTTGCTGGTAAGTGGTGGTAAACTGGTCCACCACTCTGGTCCAGACTGAAATATCTCAACACCTACTGGGCTGATTGCTATAGGATTTCGTGCTGACATTCATAGTACCAGCAGAATGAATCCTACTGACTTTGGTTTTCCTCTGACTCTTCCTCTGTAGTGCCACCATGAAGTTGACATTGGTATGCAAAACGAATCAGCCTCAGTTGCACTTTTGAAGATTGAAAATATAGTTTAGCAAATTAGCAAATGTTAGCACGCTAACACGCTAAACTAAGATGGTGCAAATGGTAAACATTATGTTAGCACTGTCATTGTAAGCATGTTAGCATGCTAACAAAGCCGTGGCTGTAGACTCTTAGTCCACTTATTAGTAATTATTTCAATTCACACACACAAATATACACACAAATTCAATACCTCAGATAGCTTTGTTAGCCAGGGCGTTGGCAGTACAGTGGTGCACATGAATACAACAAATTGTAATTTGAAGGATATGTTTGCACAATGTGTGCGTTGTACAATATTAAACAGGTTTCATGTGTTTACATTTCGGCCCTGCAAAGTTTACAGTGAATCCACCCATCAAACCTCAAACAGGATTTACTTTTGAGTTGTGACTATATCTGCTGTCAAACTACACTCTGTGTTATCTGGATTACAACTTCATGTTGTGAGCTACGGACTCTCAATTTAACTTTTATTGTCATTGTTGGGTGTGTGAGGATGGTGACCTTAAATTGTTCCTAAACTCAATGTGAAGTGATCCCACATGATTGAGCATGTAACCCATCACGGACGACTCCGACCAGCTGACTGTGCAGAATGTATTACACATTCAGAGAATACTTTCTTTCCCAAACTCATGAATGGACATTTGTGTCCAAATAAATGTGCTTGCTGTTGAGCCACATTTGCACTTTCGCCGTGTCTTCAAAGAGAAATCCAAAAGCTATTGGTGCAATTTTTTTGGTGGGGGTCAAAATGTGTCGGAGCACAATGAATGATTTGTGGGGACTACAAACACTAGTTTGAAGAACTTATTTACCCTCTTGATAAAAGTCTCCTTGTTGTGGTATGCATGAATGCTCGCCTTATTCTTACCATGAACCACTTTCATGATGCTGTACATAGAGATAATCACATGAAAAACAATCTCTAGTCATCAAATAGCTTTGTGTAGGCCTTCAAAGCTGGGTGTCTTCAGCTTTCAACAAGTCCAACAACAAAAAAAAAATCTGTGTCGCTCTGCTGACCAAACATAAAAAGAGACCATTACAAAGGTTGAACTGATTTACCCCTCTTCACCCTCCCGCCCTTTCTTTTGGCAGAAACAATGTTGCTGCATTACTTGACTGTTATCCTTCCCCCCTGATGATTTTCTTTAGCATTTTTTACTTCTCTTGTTTGAACAGATGCCGCCCCCCTCCTGCAGCCCCCATCCTCTGGGATCGCTATAAGACTTAGCACAATGAGGTAAAACTCTAATGCATTAAAGCTGAAAGTTCAGCCCAGTCAGTTCCTTCCAGTGAGCAACATCAAACAATATGATGTATATCACTTCCTGAGGAAAATTTGTATTCCTTTGTTCTACTTTATTTATGAATGGATTATGAAAGAGGTAGCCACATGACCTTGCTCCCCTTCAAGTGCGTACATTACTGCCCAGTGTTTTAAAGCAGGTTGCTTAACCTGTTGGCCACCAACTAAATAATAATAATAATAATACATTTTATTGATATAGCGCTTTTCATAAAACTCAAAGACACTTTACATTAAAATCATCATATATAAAAGCAATACACTAAAAACATAAAATACACAATAGTGGTCACACATTAAAAGCAGTTTTGAACAGATGGGTTTTGATCTGTGATTTGAATATGCAAATAAACTGGTGAATGGTTGAACAGGTGAGTGAAGTCAGATTTAGCCAGCCTTCTTTTCTTCTTCTAATCTGTCCACAAGAATTCTGGGTAAAAACTGTTGAGAAAAACAGCTGGTGTTGTCTGTAAACAAGGAGGGTGGTGGATCTCAATTCCCTGTGTCCTGTTTCAGCCTTAAACGGGTTACGTGCTTTGAGTGCCACGGAATCCAAAAGGCCCCAGAAGAATCCCAGAACAAATGTCACCTTTGACCTTTGGTGACATTAATACGTTATTGTTTTTCAACCAAATTCTGGTAGCACATTCATGAGCTCAGTGTTGTGAATAGCTGAGGCCATTAGAGGTGTGAAACCTCTTTAACTTCAGCATGCTTTTGACTGACATTCAAGTTCATTTTCCACTACTTTTTAGCACTAATGGCTCAAACAGCCATTAGTGCGACACTATATTGACATGCTAGGATATTTTCCTATTCAAAGAAATCTAGATTGCATTAATTACTTTTGCCATTATCATTGTAAAGAAAGTAACACTGTACTAGTGTTACATCTGCTGCTGTGACCATATCATAGCGGGGGGAAAAATCAATATTCACCAGACCACAGCTCCGAGAAAACTGTCCAACCAGCAGCCAAACTCTGCTTCGTACAGACGCATGTTTGCGGTGCTGAAACAAATGGATTTCTTGGAGTGTAGCTGTAAACTCAATGTCATTGCTGTTTTTCCTTCCGCATGTCACATTGAGAATTTACACCATCACCAATTATAACATGTTCGTCAATAAAGAACCGCTTTCACCAAAGCCGAATGACACGCGGTCAGAATCATGTACACACGCTTCATTGTGAATTCAGAACACACTGCATCCACAGTTGTATTTCACATGGTGACTGCACATGAATGGATTATTGGGCCTCCAGGCACAGATGTGGGCAGAGAAACAAGATGGCCATGTTTGTAGTTGTTACGCTTCTCTTACAGTGACATTGTGCAGGTTAAACGAAGCCTATACAGATGCAGGTGCTGCAGAGCTACTCAGCACTGTCAAACTGCTTTGGTAATTCTACTGTATTTTAAAGGTGAATGACATGACAACCCCTTTTTCCACCTGAGCCCTGCTTGCTTCAAACCGGTGAGTAGAGCGCAGATAAAACACAAAATACAGAAAATATATCTTGTAAAATAACCAAAATATTGTGTTTATAGGGCTGTTATCGCTCAGAAGATGGAGCTGATACATTAGGTTTTCAGGGCCTTTAATGAAATGTGGGCTGTCCAGCTGTATTATAAAGGCCAAAAATAAACAAATATTGGCTTGGTTATGGAAGATACTCAATATTAAAAGTCATTTTTTCCAAAAAGAAACGTCAATATTCACTTCATACCAATCAATTCCAGCCGCTGCAACATCCTGTTTGTAGAATTGCACGAGTGAAGCATGCACATGTAAGTGGAAGTCCTCTGAAATGTCGTTTCTTTTTTGGTTTGAAACATATTCTAGTAGATTTTACTCTCCGAGTGTTTTAGTGTTTGTCTGTTAACACCTAGTCTCTCGGTTCAATTGAGTTTTGTCAACAACATTGTTTACTGTCTTGCTCCCTCCATGAAGCAGACTTCAGATGCTCTTATGTACATGTTTGTCAATATTTAGTGGTGATGATGACCGTAATGCAGGCCATTTATCATCCACATTTGTTTCTGTTCTTCCTCCTCAGCATCATGGGCGGTTAAAGCGGGCTCCGCGGCAGCCTCTGAACATACTTTCTCTGTCGGCGGAGAGCATCACCCCGTCGGTTTCCCCTTTATTGGAGCCCCGCCTCGAAGTCAGTCGATCAAATTCAGCATCTCACTCGCCGGTCCCTGACCAATCAGCGCGCAGAGGGGGTGGTCTCGCCGGTGGTCCGTGCGGGCAGTAGCCAATGAGAGCTCGAGCAGCTCGAACAAAGGGCTCGCGTCAACGATCGTTGGTCGCTTGAATGGAACATTATTCATGTGCACGCTGAGCTTATTTAAAGAGACGCGATGAGGTGAGCTCGCGGGGCCCTTATAAAAGGTAACGGACCTCCTCGAGCTTTACTTTTTTTTCTCTGAATGCGGTGAGTGGTGCACGATGGGAGAATCATAGTTTATCATAGTTTTGAATTTAAAGTGTGATTTTCAATCACCCCCCCCCCCCCCCCCATCAAAACACTAGTCTCACTAAAGGTTTTGGTGATATACTACCATGTCTAATCTTGAGCGCGCTGCTGATGATTCACTCGTAATCGCTTTGCGTGCTCATACCTGCCAGTAAATTACAACATGATCACGCCTTTCAATGATCAGTGCAACAAAGGCGCTTTAAAGTTACTTAAAGCCAAATAAGTTGAACTGGAGGGCACCAAAATGACAATAAACGTGGAAGATAATTCCACTTTTTGTTGTTGTTTTAGCCGTTTCATCATGTGTGTGTTTTAGGAAAGAAGCATCAATATCTGTTTTACACACACCCACCGCCCATGCAGCCTCCCAAAGCGACGCGTTTTCGCCTGACCGGGTTCATTAATACGTAGAGAGGAAGGGGAGGAGGTGGACGGCTCTTCTTCTATGATGCGCTGAGCGCTGCTGTTTCATTTCACCACCGCCTCCGAGCAGCTCACTCCTCCCTCTTCCTTTAGGGTTTAGGCGTTATCTCTAAATTTCGATGAAAAGTGCCAACATTTTCGATTATCCTTTTGTACCCGCAGCCTCGCCGAGAAGACCACTCCACCGAGCCGCGAAGAGAGAAGTTTGAAACCCGCCCAGCTGCTGCTCAGGAGAAACGCCGGATCCGAGGTCTCACGATCCTACACACCGCTATCTTTTAGTTAAATTTTGTATTTTTTTGGGGGAGGTTATCATCGACTTCAGTGAAGTTTTATTAGTAAAAAATCTTCCCTGAGAGGACCGCTCATCCGCCCGGCATCATGACTCGGAGATCCTGTGCCATTTACGCCACCGGGATCGTGTGCGCTCACCTCCTGATAGTGGGGATCGCCCTGGTCGTGGCTCAAGTCTTCCAAACAATGATCCACAGCCGGTTAAAAAAGGTGAGTTGTAGTCTCTCTCTTATTTTATGATTTTTTTAAAAGGTAACGGCTTTCAATGCTTTCTCCTCCTTTCACACTTCTTCCATCTGTCACACTTCAGGGGTTTGAATATTGAAGCATGTCATTCTGCAGTGGTCAATCATGCGCATTCAGCATCTCACAGTATAGGCTACACACAGGGTCACAAGATCTATCCGGTGTATACATTGTCTTAATTCTTTTACTGTTTACATGAGAAGTTATTCGTGTTTTTGCTGCATTCTGCAGCTGCAGCTCGGCACCATGAACCCAGAGCCTTCCCCCCCCCCCCCTTTCATGAATCCGCATGATACGAGTCTGCAGCGTGCAAGTCCCATTGCCTTATTGTGCAGCTTCTGGGGGTTTTGTTCAAGATTGCATTAAGGCATGATGATTAATCGGCAGTAAACGCTACACGCAGACCTTTAAAAAAAATAAAAAGAAGCTTTCGCTTTAGGTAGAAATCCCATGGAACTCCCACACGGGAATGATGATTGTTTGACTCTCAGAGGTGAGTTTATCATGACCTTACCCCCATTTTACGGTGTTTATTTTATTTTGATCTCCTCTCACATTCTTACCCGGATCGTCACCGTTTTATATGATCTGGCAAGACATCACGGGATTCAATTAGCCTTTTAATGAATGGAAGGGAGTCTGGAGAAATGAGAAATAAATGCACGATATGCTCTTTCTGCTGGCAGACAGTCGCGTTTTAGTGAACCTGCCCAGTGCTGTGCGCATGACCTGGTGACACGGTTCTGTTAATACAGGCGTGATATTCTTCATGGTGGACCACTAATCGGAGCAGGGTTACCGGTGGTGGTAGTAGTAGTAGTAGTAGTAGTAGTAGTAGTAGTAGTAGTAGTAGTAGTAGAAATCTCAGCCAGCGGGGACACGGTGGGTAAGGGGGGGTCTGAAGGAAAGGGGGAAGGGAGTCTTGGTCAGTCCCTGGCTGATCTGTAAAAGTTTGACATGGTGTGTAGAGGAGGATGAGAGGCAGACATCCAGCCTTCTGTCCCACTTGTATACACCAGACAAACCTGCATTAATTTGACTGACATGTCCTTTGTAATGTATGTATGCAATATGTTATTTGTATTGTTTTTTTAACAGCAGACACTGTACACTGTATGTATGTTTCCAAGACAAATCTCCTTCGGGACAATAAAGTCTATCTTGTCTTATCTTTGCATTTCCTAACTGAGACTATGAAATGATTGAGAATTAAGTGTGTTGCTTTCAAATCTGTATGTAACAGAAATCCCCCACAAACCCTGCTGATTTTAAAAAGCAATTTAGTGCCATTACTGGTCTATATTTGATACTTCTCAAATCAGTCGGCGCTAGTTCAGCCCATTCCCAGTCTTGAGACAAATTGTGTTGGTCAGTGAAACACCACACAGGATTCATTAACATTCATATTGATATTTTGGAGTAAAGTTGTTACACCGGCGTTATTTTTTTACTTGAGCGGGCTTAAACATGTACGTAGAAGTGTGGTGTGACTCGTGGACTTGTGCAGTGGCATGTCTACATATCTGGGGACTTGTGCCTTAGTTCAGGGGTGGTGGGGTGGGGTTGTTGGCAGCTGACACTCTATCCAACCCTGCAGACCCACTGCTGCTCTCTTCCCTTTTAGAATACCTCGCATTCCCCTTACTGACATGAAGCACTGTGCTGGATGCCCGGTGTTACTCCATAATCTGTCCGTTGAAATGCCTTCGCTTCGTCTTGCAGTCGCCCCCCCCCCCCCCCCCCCCCCCCCACCCCGCTTAAGAAGAAAAAAGCTCTTCAGAAAAGCTCGACTCACTATTTGTCCAAGTCCGGGACTCGCAAACAGCACCACCTGACACGGTTTCCCCCTCCTGTAGTTAAATTTCGGTCGGGGGCTCATTTGTGTCTCGTTCTGAATCACGGCAGCGACCCAGGGGACCCAAATTAAAGGAAGTTAGTCAAAGTTCATCAACGGGGGACATTATTCTGATGCGGCTGGCGATTACATGAAATGACAGCGTTGCTAATCCTCTTTAGCCACACAGTCTTTCCCATTGAATTAGTCTGGCCGGGACATACTGAACTGACTCCAAAAATCTACCTAATCTGATGTCTGAATGTGGCTCTCTGTAATAATGATGTCGCCGAGTTGTTTGGTACAAGCTGCCTCCAGGACACAATCTCTGTGTGTCTGAGCTGGGTGTGGAGTGAGGCAGCGGTAAATCCATGCGAGGAATTTGACAGACTCCGTGGCCTCGGGGGAATGATTTCTGCCTGAGAGCCACCTTGTTGTCCCTTGTTGTTGTTGTTCCAGCCTCGGCCTATCCCGAGTTGTTCTGCTCAGAAACTATACACCCACTCATGCCCCTCCCCTCAGCCCTATTTGGGAGTGGAGACTTTTCAAGGTAGTATGACTGATTAAAGTGTTCAAGAACAAGGTAATGCTGGTGAAACGCAGGAGGTTACTTATGAGAAGGATTTCATGCGTTTTCCTTTTTTACCGTTTTGTTTTGTTCCCGTGCTGTTCAGAGCCGGATCTTGTCCCACCACACGTATGTAGGCTGTGCCTGAAGTCGTTTGGCTGAGAGCCGGTTCACTTTGTTTAGTTTGAGTCCCTCATCCAGCCTTTCCACTGGTGAATGAACAACACCGTATTTTGATTGCACCAACAAACCCCTCCACTTTGTCCCTCACTTGTTTTTCTGTTTGTAATAGATCAAGGTTTTTTTGTTTTTTTTCTTCTGGAGATAAATGATGTTCACATAGCTGTAATGAAGGCCTTCTGAAAGACCTTTGTTCAAGGTGGGCAAACACAGGGCGTCATGCAGGCTGCAGTCACACGTAATGCTGCAGGGGGAAAGCCAGACCAGCTTTAGAAGTCTCACTTTGCACTTTGTTTCTCAAACACGTTATGTAAATATTGCTGCTTTAGCAGATTGTTTCATACAAGTCATGTAGGCTGCCCGTGATGGTCATGTGATTCTGTTGCATTACCTGGTTTCACTTCAGCTCTTAATTAAGATGCAGAAGCCATGATCCTGAAGACTCGGGAGAATCCATTCTGCTTAAATACCTCAAGTTCCATATTTTGGAGGGAATGACGCAGCAACGGAAACCTAACTGTGATGATTTCTTGGGTTGAATCTGGGTTTGTGCAATCTGTAATTCTTGGTTGTTAAGAATAAAAAGAAATGCATGCAATGACGACTACAGACTCATAAAAGTGCTGATTATGGCACACCCTTCTACAGCTGCAACTTAGTTCATTCATTCAAACAGCAAATCCTCTTCAAAATGAGGATTTTCTGCTTTTCTGTCAGCCAAATTTGCCTTTTTTTTTTCCCCCCTCTCAAAGTAGATATTTTGGTTGAACCCTTCTGAGATCTAACTTGAGTAGTTTTGTAAAGTAGCAAAGGGGAGATGATGCAACAAATCCCCTGCAAACAATTCTATAGAGCAAAAACAAGTTTGAAGTTGAAACCCAAACAGGAAGTGCCGGCCACACCTTACACTATATTTTCTCAACAGCAACCGTTTGCAGAAGACAATGTATAGCCTCCTTCAAGAGCGCCTCGCTGGTCTCCGGACAGAGAAGGTTTTCAGGAACTCACCATGAAAAAACACGAGAGGAAGTGGGTCACTTATCCTTTCCCATGTTTAAAAATACACCTCAAGAAAAGAATAGAAATAGCTTGCTCATTCCCCTCTGTAACAAACACCTTCAGTCAACATACTGGAAGCTGCTGTTGCACTGAAAGTGGGCTGTTTTACTCTACAGCTGAATGATGCAGTCAACGGTTTCGGTTGCTCTTGTTCAGACAGGTTACTTACGACTGAAACTTGTTTTTGTTTTTTTTCTCTCCACATGATCACAGCCAAAACGTCTGTGAGACCACTCGGGAGTGAAGCCATCTCCTACTTTTTGTGCTTGCTTCGGCCTCTCCTGACATCCAGCATGTTAGTTTGATGGCGGACGCTGCAGAGAAGCCATGTTTTTGTTATTGCAACATGTTGCTGTTATTGTGTCTGATGATGAATAGTAGCCCACAGTCACAGACTCTTGCCTAGGCTTGCTGAGGTCAGAATCTGAATGCAGTATTTGCTCAAATTTTCTGCCGATCCAGACTTTTTTTTTTTTTTTTTTGTTGCAGCTATGGAGGGCTTTTCTCTGCCTCCCTCTGGGTTTTTGGTGTTTTTGACCCGGCATCAGTTCCTTGCAGAACAGTGCCATGTGTGCTCTCAGATGGCTCTCATTCAGAACAGTGAAGAGCTTTGAAAGTTCCCAAATGTGCTTAAAACATTGTTCAACCAAAGTGTACAATTTGAGTACCAATGCTTGCTGAACTCATTATCCCAACACTGTTTGTGCTGTTTCTCAATCTGAATGCATTTTCTTTTTCTTCTTTATTTCTTTGTCAATAGGAAATTACTTTGACAGAGAAGAGCCAAATGTTTGAAGCATGGAAGAATCCACCTCCACCTGTTTACATGGAGTATTATTTCTTCAATGTGACCAATGCAGAGGTGTTCTTGGCAGGCGGGAAGGCAGCTGTTAAACAGATCGGACCATATACTTACAGGTAGGTTTGATACGAAGATCTGTCGCCGTAAATGTGTGTAATATATAGTGACGGAAACTCACTCCCCACCCTTGTTCCCAAAAGTCCTGTTTAAGGAAAGATATCTTGCATCTGGGTTCATCTGCAAAACAAAAGACTTCTGGACTAACTGACTTTTTCACACCAGGGAGTACCGGCCGCGGGAGAACGTCACTTTCCTGGAAAACGGCACCAAGCTTTACGCCCTGAACCCCAAAACCTTTGTGTTTGTGCCGGAGAAGTCAGCCGGTAACCCCGAGGTCGACATCGTCAGGACTGTGAACATCCCCTTCGTGGTAAGACGCCGTGTCTGGACAGGATAATGTGTGTTATTATGACACGCAGCAGCCAGTAATCATGTCCCTTAGATTTGACTTTAAGTCATTTGATTGGCATGTCTATTTTTGTTTTACACACGTTATTCCGTAACGCACTCCAAGCCATTGTCCTCTTAGTTGTATTGTGACATTTTGATGTGTTGAACATACAAACTTAAGTCATATCGGGCAAAGACGAACAGGCCTAATGAACTCTAATGCAGCATTGACCGTGAGATTTTCCTCAAGTATTGCAAACGACCCGAGCCAATCTTTCCGTTCCCTGACTTGTTTCTTCGTCCTTAGGCGATCATGAGCGAGCTGAACTCGTACTCCTTCTTCCTGCGAACTTTGGTTTCCATGTACATAAGGAGCCTGGGCGTCGAGGTGTTCATGTCCCGCACTGTCCACGAGGTTCTGTGGGGCTTCAAAGACCCTCTTCTAACAAAGGTCCACGCTATGAAGCCCGAAGTGGACGAATATTTTGGGCTGATGTGGAAGGTACGTTTTACTCACTTTCATGAATATATATATGAATATATATTTAGAGGCACGCTTGATGTTATTTTAGTTCAAAAGTCTTAAGAAAGCGTGTTTCATGCTGGTTGTCGGTGGTTACTAAAACAACAGACGAGCCTGTGGCCACGTAAGAGAAGTGAGATTGGCCACATGCTGATGGAAGATGATTGTACTTCCTGTTAGTCTGCAGATCGACGTACTCCATGACAGCAGCAGCCTTGTGATCCTGAGCACAGCATTTATTTATTTTTTTACACAGTGCTATAGGTCGATTTATGGATCGCTTGATCAGCAGAAAATTAACTATTTTATGATTTCTTCTTTTTTTTTTTTTCCAAGCAAAGATTCACAGCTTCTCAAATGTGAGAGTTAGATGCTTTTATTTTTCATTTATGATATAAAAGTGAATATCTCTGGGGTTTGGACTGTAAAACAAGTAATTTAAAGACATCAAACAGTGGAAAGTAGAAGTAGAAAATTTGAATTTTTTTCAGTATGTGATTAATCGATTATTGTCGACAATAATTGGCAGATTAATCGACTAAAATATGTTTTGTTTAAGTGTTCTTCCATTGGTTACTAATGCCTTACTGTGTCTGGTGATAATACACTAAGGGGCATGCTAAGGGTAGCGAATACAAGCAGTATTTATTTCTCAACTCCCAATGTTTCCGACTCTCCGCCGTATCCTGAGCACTTGTCCGTCACAGCAGCTTTCTCTGACCCTCGTCTTGTTTTCTGCAGAAAAACGGCACCCATGAAGGAGAGTTTGTGTTCCACACCGGTGAGGAGAACTACATGGATTATGGCAAGATCGACACGTGGAACGGCATGAGGTAAATACTCATGTCAGGCAGATTTTTATATTTTCCTGTTTCCTGCTTTCCTCGATGATAGGAAATACTCCCTCTTGTTAGCGCATGCCTCCCACATCCTCCAACTCATGATATTCACATATAGTAGTTAAACAGCCTGAAAGTCTAAAGGAGAAAGCCTTGATGATTTCTTTGGCGTGAAAGAAGAAAAAACAAACGTATTGGATAAATGTACACCCCTTTCAGCAGTAAGGTAAAAGAGAAATCACTCTTTGTAACTGCAGAGTAATGATTCAATCAACGGAAAACGAATCGGCAAGTATTTTGTGGGGTCCCAACTTGCTGACACTGTTTTCTTGGTTAAATCTTGAATGATGCAGTGCATTTTATAATCTTGTAGTGAAGTAAAACGTACATTTCCTCTGAATTGTGGGTTGATTTAGAAGTATACAATACACGTAGGCCAGTAGAGGCTCTTCAAAAGTACAGTACTTGGGTGTAGCTGCAAGTAAATACATTTACTAATGTCACCGGTTTTCTTCTCGATCAATAGGGAGATGTCATGGTGGTCTTCAAATCAGAGCAACATGATCAACGGTACGGACGGCGCGGTCTTCCACCCTCTGATAAACAGGAACGAGCTGCTGTACATCTTCGCTGCGGATCTCTGCAGGTATGCAGATGCCGCTTACGGGGTCATAGATTTGTTTACAGTCAAAGCATCTCGGCCGGGGTGAGGTCCAGAACGCCCTGGAAATTGCAGCGACTGAGTCATACACAATATGCTTACTAAGCCACTGATAAGGACCTGAGTTGTGCTTATTACGACCTGATAAGGCTGTCAATGAACTCAAAACACACGTGGGAAAGTCAAGAGTATGTCGACATACTTGGGAGGCTTTAAGGAATGGTTGTACAGGAGGTGGTCCCTCTTGTACATGACACATTTACTTTTAAAGGACCATAACTGCTGTTTCCTTTTTCCTGATTGCTCTTAATTTAGACATCTGGACAACACTTAGTCCGTAGTTCTTACTTTATGATCACTGAGCTGTTTTTCTTTTTCTTTCTTAGGTCTATCCATCTAGCCTATGTGAAAGATGTGGAGGTGAAAGGCATCCAGGCGTACCGCTTCGCCCCCCCTAATGACGTACTCATGAACCCCATAGAAAACCCCACTAACGCGGGCTTCTGCGTGCCGGCTGGAGACTGTCTCGGCACCGGGCTGCTTAAAGTCAGCGTTTGTCGAGAAGGTAAGGGACTGCCCTGTTTCTCCCCCTCAGTAGCCAGAGAGTCTGACCCAGTTACCCAGTTACCCAGTCCCCCCTCCACCCCTCCTTTTTCTACACCCCCCCCCCCCCCAAAAAATGTCTTTTCAGTCCACAGCCCCGTCCCCTGCCTGGTATCTGACATTCCCAGTGTTTGAACCTGATTTTCACTCAGTACACGGTTCAATGATTAACTGTGCTGTCTGTGTGTGGAGGCCATTGAAGTATTTTATGGTGGTCATTGAGTGGAGTGCGACTACTCTGATAAGGCTTGACACATGGGGACGGACAGAGTATTATCACTACAGATATGCTACTGTAACCTCACGCTGTTTGTAAAATTACCAGACAGTTTATTTTTTTGGGGTAATTTTGTTCAAACATATACAGTCCTAGTGGGAGAAAACACTTATGTTTTAGCACATGCATCAATACATATAACTGATAGGCTGCCTGTATCAGCTTCTCTGATTCATACGAGGCAAAGGCGTCTGATTGGGAGGATTTTTGTGATGCTTCTATGAGAGCCAATCACAACCAAGCCCTGTTGTCATGTCATGTGCAAAGTGATGTCATTCTGAAACTGCCCGTGTGGTTAAAGAATCGGATCATCTGTCTTTTCTATATGATCTATCATCCGCTTCTACATACTGTATATGGAACCGTTTTTTTTTTTTTTTTTTAAATCCCTGCTTTTATTTTTGTGTAAAACATCCGCTGTAACAGTTTAGTACAAAATATAAAAAGATGACGTTGCTTTTTGGTGACAGAATTGTGTCGGTTTTAGCAGCAGCAGTATTCTTCAGGCTGAATCCAGTATAGTTTTAACGTGTTTAAATTTGACTTCTTTTAGGCCACAAAATAATAACTAAATAACGTTTTCAGCATATATCCCCCTGAATTTACATTTTTTGCAATGTGGAGAAACAGGGTTAAGTTTAGGCATTTAGACCTTTTTGTATTTGGGAATGTAACTTTAAATAAAGGACAATTGAGCAGTTAAATGATTAAATAAAATGTAAAAAAATCCAAATATATCAAAGGCAGAAAACGGTGTGTTTAGTGCTGCAGGGTCACTCCTGTTTTTATTGTCCGCTCATCATTATTTAGGGTAAAACACAGGCTCTGACTATCTGCTGCACCTTTACAAAATATGATCTTTTATCTTATCGTTTCTCTCATCTGTTTTCAGCCCTTGTTGTTTAGAGTCATCTCAGGATTCGAACACTAATTAACTCGTGTTTGTCTCACTTGTTTCCTTCAAGGTGCTCCCATCGTGGTGTCTTTCCCCCACTTTTATCAAGCAGACCCGAAGTACATCAACGCCGTTGAAGGGCTCAGCCCCAACAAGGAGGAACACGAGACCTACCTCGACCTGCAACCGGTACGACTACTGTTTAATTTCCCAACAGGTTGGAGCCATGCGGACGAGTCTGTGTTGAACCTTGCGCAGCTGGTTAATGACCACCTTTTATGTAAATCACAAAAGTTGTTTTGAATCCTCGTGATAGCTCTGCATGTATATCCGGTTTGGTTCACATAGAGATAACACGAATCAGTTGTTGATCGGTTTAACAATTAAAAAGCCAAATGATGTGTATTACAGCTTATCTGCTTGACATTTCATTCGTACATAGAAATCAGTACAGTTATAACAGTAAAAACAACAAAATACACTGAGGAGGGGGAAAAAAATGAAATGGGCAACAAATACTTGAGATAATCTCACCCTGTAAATCTATCAATATGTGAGGATTCCATGAAAGAAAAGGTTCCTGGGCTGTTCTGAGACGTCTTTCTATCGCTTTGTTTCAGACCACAGGGGTTCCCATTCGTGCCTGCAAGAGAGCTCAGCTCAATATCATCCTGAAAAGAGTCCAAGGCTTCCCGTAAGTTAAACTTTGTCGAACTCTGACCCATTTAGCTGTTGCCACACTCGTGTCCTCATTTCAGCCACATGTTGAGCCAGATGTTCTCCCTGACTTCCCTGTCTGTCTCTCTCTTTCGCTCTCTCTCTCTTTCTTTCTGCTCTTACAGCAAAACCAAGTTCATCAACGAGACCATTTTCCCCATCATGTTCGTCAATGAGGTGGGGATTTCATTCAGTACAATCTGTGAACGAACCCTGTTCTCATAAACCCCGTAAGTGGATCACAAATCAATAATCATCTCTCTCGAATCTAGACGGCGACTGTTGACGATCAGTCCGCCTCCCAGATGAGGACGATGCTCCTAATTGTGACTCTTGTGTCAAACTTCCCTTTGCTCATCGTGGGCATGGGCATCATCTTGCTGCTGGTGCTCGTCGTCTTGTTCTGCCGAAACCGCCAGAAGAAGGTAGGAACTTTGCCCCCGTTTGTTGCCGTGTGCTGAGCTGTAGTATTAATCCAAACGGTTACCCTGGTGGGTGCCAGCCACTGACATTAGCTCACATTGTAAATGAGTCTGATAATAGATAGTGGGGGAAATGATTCGCAGTAAATGCTACAGTTTTTTTGAGTGGGATTTTGCATGGTTAAGAAGTTTCCTCACTGAGCTGCTGCAGGTTTAACCCCGAGTTTTGTGCACGTTAACTAACACACATGCATGTATTCGGCTAAGCAAAGCCAGCATGGATCCGTTGCTTATTTGTTTTCCTTGCTGAACATTTTCTAACAGTCGATGCATCTTTTGTGTTCAGGATCTCAGTTCCCTGCTGGTCATTGTAGCTATGAGCTAGCTCAGCACTATTCAGTAGCAATTGAATTAGACTAGGCCTGAGAGTAATGTGCAGCACATGCTCACCTCTCTTATCTCTCGCAGTTTAGGACTGTTGATTTGAACCCTGACCGTCACCGTCCTCGGATTACTCTAGTTAAGGTCATTCACTGTCCAAAGAGTCGCCTGCACTTTTTGAGTTGGATGAGAAGATTGATACCATGTTAAATATTCGCCAGGAGACAGTTGGCTTAGTGTAGATTAAACTGGAAACAATGGAAAACCTGAAAATGTGTTGAAGTTGTTCTTATTGAACGAACAAAACATAAGTTGTTCAGGACTGAGCTGTACAGGTGCTGATAGGTGGCTGTTGTTACCTTTGCACAGAGCCAGGCTAGCTGTTTCCAGTGTGTAAAGTAAACTTAGCTAACCGGCTGTAGCTTAATATTTAGCGTGCAGACATGAGCGGTATCAATCTCCTCTTCTAAATCTCGTTAAAGGAAGTATTTCCAAAAAATGTCAAGACTATGCATAGTAGCGTGCATTGCCGTTTTAGAACATTAGCTTAGCATTGAGAGGATGTTAAAAACGTGCATAATTGCAATGTGAAGTGTTGTATTAACAATGTTCTAATTTTAATTTTCTGTAACCCCCCTTTTTTCTTTTTCTGTTTTTAGAATGAAGTAAAACGTATTGATTTTACTGAAGCTTTTCATTCTTTTACTGTAAGTCTTAATTTTTGCCTTGTTTGCTATTCTCCTTTCTTAATTTGTTACACATCATCTCTGATTATCATTTTTATTTAACTTTATGGGACATGACTTTCCTTTTTGAGTTCTCGCCTCAGTGTAATTTCTTTACTTTTGAAGTAAATGTTTTGTTGTGGTGGTGGTGGTTGTGAATACTTAGATAAACGTGGTTTACTGTGAACATTTCACTCAAAACATTTATTCACATTTGAACGTCAGCGTTGAGTATTGAAGAATATTTGGGCGTCTTGCCACTTCGGTGGTTTGCACTGACACCTTTTCTTCTCCTGTTCAGACGGTGAAAGACGACACGGCCTACACTCAGGTCAGCGACAAACCCGACGAGCCGTCAGAAACGCCAGCAAGCCAGCCAACAAGGAACGGCTCCTACATTGCCATGTCTCCAGTGGAGGCCCAGAAGTGTTGATCGAGGATCCCCTCCCCAAGTGTGGAGCTCAGGAAGGGGGCTGAGGGAGCAGCACAGGGGTGTTACATTACCATGGATGGGGGTTTGCTTACACAGCGGGCAAATTTTTACTTATTTTGAGGGGGGGAATAGGGAAAGGGGTGGGACACAAACCCCAGTAGATGTTTAGACAACAAAGACATTGCGCCTCTCACTGAGCCCTCTTATGACTGTCTGTCCTCCTCTACTCTACCTGCTGAGCATGGCCCTCGCTGCCTGCCCTACTGCAAAACTCCCACACTCTCATTCCTCTTTTCCATCCTGGTCGGCCTTAAGGGACTCTGGGCGCAGCCGGCCAGGACAAGCCTTTTTTCCGTAATTCTTCTGAGGGAACACGTAGCGTAGGTGTCGCTGTCGCACACGGATGCATGATCCGCCGAGCAGACTCTGCCGACTGATACTGCTCAAGGAGTGTTTTAGTATTCACCTCAACAACGGTGGGTGTTGTTACCGACGTATTCCGGCTCCTTGCCTCTGCATCAGTGGGGAAAATTCAAGCCAACAGATTTTTCTTAGGACAAAACTCTGAGCTCCTTTGCTCAGAGGATAACATGGTTTTGCTAATATAATCAGAACTTGGCATATCCTTTTTGTAACAAAAAAAAAAAAGGCAGAGGAAAAAACACTGAGCCAAACTATTTATAGCATTTATGCCTTTTTTTGTTTTTCCTAAGGTGAATAATTGCACCCACACACACACACACACACAGCACTTCCAGTATCTGTTAGTGAACGTGTGTGTGCACCTTTATCTGACACTTAGTGTCCTGTTTTGATGGAAAATGGGAAACTATTTGTCTTGATGCAGGCACAGTGTAGTGAAACTTGGAATCATTGTGATTTTTGATCCCCTCTCTCAACCTCTTCAGAACACTAGCTAAAACAATATTCCGCAGCATTTCCAAGTTCATCATTAGTGAAGGTGAAATTAATAAGGGTTGCCACCAGTAGCTTGATAAAGTTGTACCTTTTTTTTTGGCTTCATCACACATTCAAAAAAAGAACCCACAGAACTTACAAGGGAGACTTGAACCTGCTTTCTGCCTTATGATGGTTCAGCGTGTTCTTTATGTTCATACATTGTTCAAATAAGCTGGAAATCTCTTCTGTCATTATTGTATATATGTAAAAGGGGACATGTTGAGATGCCTCTGACCAAATCCAGCAAGCAGTCCTTCTAGGTGTGCTGAAAGACACTAACTTTGCTCTGGTGTCGACCGCTCCTGCACGTCTACACTGTTACTTATTAGAGAAAGCACAATTTGGACTGCTAAAACCAGTCCTCACACAAGACTACCAGGTTTTTATTTTGTCCTACTTTGATATATATTTACAGCCGATTTGTCAAAAACACTGTCAAAGTGCCGTGAATATAAACAAAAAAAAAAAAGTGGACTCATTGGGCGTTTTGAGGGAGCCCTGTGCACCACTCGCCGCTGTGCAGTCATTCAGTTTGCCAAGGAGCTGTAGGCATTCAGGCAAAACGCAGCACACAGCACTTGAATCACTGTTTGTCTTATGTTTCATGTCTTCTCGTTTTTCTGTCCGCCACACTTGTCTCGTTACGTCAAACCCTGCGGTAGTCGCTAATGGGAAGTGAATTTAAGGCCATAATACTGTCGACGTGGAAAATTCCCCGCACTTTGCCTGGAAATTGTGCCCTGTGTATTTTCGTTTTTTTTTTTTTTTTTTTCTTTTTTTTTTTTTGTCCCGTTCATTTCGGTGCAGGTGGTCCATATGTTCAATACATCTCAATGATTTGTTAGTATTGGTTATGAAGGATGCTGATGTAAATGAACACACATCCATGCCTCTGTTACTTGCTTTTCAGCAGATGGAGTGTCTTCTTTTGATATACTTTTGTATTTTGTTATTGCTGCTAAAACAAATACCATAACCTATGGACTTGTATTTGTACATACGTGTACATTCTCTTTCAGGTTGATCCGCAGAGGCTTTTTCTTTAAGGCTTTCTGTGTTGCCAACCCCTTTTGACACCTGAGCACAAGATACAAAGCCCAAAGCTTGCTGCCATTTAATGGAATTAGCAGTTACAGTTATTACTAGCAACACTTTTTGTAAAATGTATCTCACTTAACACACTCATTCCTCTTATTAGCAGATCGTGACCATATCACATGTATTGTTGGAGTTCATTATAGGCGTAGTAAACTTAACGGTTCGCTGGAGGTGCCCAAAAAGCGAGCCGCTTCGTCTAAGATCGGTGTCAGAAGTCTTATTCCGGGATTAATAACACTGGTGGAGAAGTTGAAAGTATTCCTTTAAGGTTAAATCAATTCACTAAATGCCTTTTTTATTCCATCTACAGGCAAGCAACCGCCGCCTTGTGCAAACTCACAGTCCATCGTTATCCACCTTTTTAAAGACTTGAACCGTAGAGCCCTTAATCCCGAGAGTCGTGTGTGTGTGTGTTTTGCTGCTCGTGCAGCGTCTGTTTAAACACACACCTGAGCCATCCACTGTCTGACTTCTACACCGACCTTTGAGTCCAATCCTTCGAGCCCATTGGCTCATCCCTGCTTGACCAAAGATAACCTAATAGATCTGCCCCAGCACCGTGTTTACTCTCCTCTGTGATAACGGTTGTACCACAAAACCACCGCTCACCTAATTATTTCTTTTTTTCCTTCTTTTTTTTTTATCGTGCCACCTCTTACGTGAAGTATTTGCAGCACTGATGTGTGAGCATTAACGTGCGTCTATGTGCCTTTTGGCAAGAAGAAAGATGAAATTTCACAAGTTGGATTGATGGGTATTGCTTTTTTTTTTTTTGTCAACCAGTAAAAGAGCAAACAAAACGAATCGGTGCTCTTTGTGAGCAGATCTCAGTATTATGTAAGACGAAGCAATACAGAGTTGTGTAAAATGTAAGGGGCCACACAATATTTATGTATCTTTTGTTTTTTCCCTTAAATTTGATAGTTGTGTAGAAGTATTTACTTTTTCTGTAGCTTGATTTAGTTTTATTTTTTTTTTGTGGTTCTAATAAATATTTCATTATTGATCAGTTCATTTTTTTTCCACACTAAAAATACAAAAAGGTGTAAAAAGATGGACCAGTATGTGACACTTGGAGCTGTCAGGAGACGTGTGTGTGTGTGTGTGTGTGTGTGTGTGTGTGTGTGTGTGTGTGTGTGTGTGTGTGTGTGTGTGTGTGTGTGTGTGTGTGTGTGTGTGTGTGTGTGTGTGTGTGTGTGTGTGTGTAAATTTGTGGAGCCGATTGCACCATTTCTGTCAAACTGGAGTGATTTTTACTGGAAGGCTGATTATCTTGATGACTGAGTAAAGTGACGAGTTGATGCTGTGTAGACGTATCTAGATGAATGAAGCCCTACTTCAGGGATGAGCACTAGTGCCGTGCCATACCATCCTTTATTATTCTTTTCCTTAATTTGCTCTTTGGTGTAACAACCGCGTCTGCCCATTTCAATGTTCTGAAGTCACTAACGGATGTTTCCTGTTGAGATATACTAATTTGTTTTGCTGCTGAAAATGACAATCCTTGTCATGTGAGGTGCAAAATGAATGAGTAATATCCATTCTTAGTTTTGATAATTTACACTGCACAGATGTTTCTACAGTGCTTTTGTAAACATTTATAGTGTATTTGCAAAAAAATAAAGTTGCAGTCAAGTGCAAAATTCACACAGTTGTCTGTCTTTTGATTAACTGTCGGAGAGAAATATGAATGGAGTTCGTGGAACTATAACTGTTCATCCAGAGGAGTCGGATGACTGATGAATACACCCTGGAAAATAAACTTCATGAAATTGTAAAACTGGACCGGAAAATTGAAAATAAAATTCAACACACATAAATTCAGATGATTTTCAAAGTATAATGTTTCAAAGCTACAAATCCAATAGTTTTTTTTAAGGAATATTTAGATATTTGAGGAAATTGATACCACTCCAATCAAAATGAAGCTATAGCTTTTTAGCTTAACTTAGCATAGTATAAAAGAAGGAAATAGACCATCACAATACCCGCCATGAAACCACAACGTGACAAATTTACACTTCAATTTTTGTACGGATTAACAAACTGATTTTTTTTTTTTTTTAATTAGTGAGCATTAGAGAAGCCAGGCTTGCTGTTTCCTCTTGTTCCCAGTCTTTATGCTAAGCTAAATGAACCAGCTGCTCTCGATAGCTACACCACTGTACAAACATGAGTGGTGACTGACTCTGACGGTAAACAATTGAGCATATTTTCCCAAAATGTGGATCCACTGCTTTAAAATTCAATGTTATGTATTCACAAGTGCTTAAATGTCACATTTAGTTAATCAGTTGCATATAAAATCCAGATTTTCATGTAATTTTCTTCCTTCCATAAATAACAAGTCACTGTGACTTGCATTTTCTGCATGTTTTTGCTTTTATTTAAGTCTAATTAAATGCAATCTTGACATGTTTTTTGTGGAAGAAATTCCCTTTATAAACATTCAGGCCAAAGTTGTTTGATAACGTTTATTTCTTTTTCCCTTGAATAACTGGACAAGCACACAGAGATTAGAGAGCAAGGACTTATTCTAGACTCACTTTTGTGCATAAACATGCAACACATTCAGGTGAAAACCCTTCTCTTATGCGCAGTAACGAGATATCTTTGTGACTCTTCCCACTCTTTTCAAACCCTTCACAGGTTTGACTCAAGCTCAGGCAGGTTCTTAGGGAGAACGTTTGTGGCACGCATCTCAAGCTGCAACAGATACACACTGTTAATTGTGTAGCTGCAGCTGTATTCAAACTTGTGGCCTCGGGGGAAGTTACGTTCTGAACTCGTTTGAGAACTCGAATCATTTGCTGCCCTTGATATTATCGTTTCAGGGTCTGCGGGCATCACATGCACTCTCTCCTTCAGTCTTTCCATTAGGTGAACAGTATTTACTGCTTTTGGGACCGGATCGACCTTCAGTGGAGTCGACGCTCTTGCTGGCTGACGCTTCACTGCGACTCTTCTCTGCTGATTGAAGTGAAGTGCTTTCTTGTACCCTCTGGAGTCTAGGTTCATTTTTGTCTTTAGCATCTTTTGAACTGTCCTCATCCCACATGAATAGTATCTTTTCTTTGCAGATTAAACTCAGCTATGAGTCTGACTCAGCATTTTGTCAACTTTACTCATTGTTAAGCTGCTAGGAACCCAAAAGACAATAAAAGATAACATAGGGGCCCATTGAACATTTTAGATATATGTGAAAAGAACAGTTTGTGGTCGAAATAAATATTGTTCCGCTTTTTATACACAATGCAGTACGAAATCCCAATAATACATTCTATTTATATGTAAACCGGAAAAACAGTGGAGCGAGTAAGTGTTGAGTCTTAATTAAAAAAATAAAATAATTATTTGTGATGGTGTCAAACCAGGGGAACAGATGACCATTTCAACTTTGAAGCTTCACCCCTGCAGGCCGGTCGACGTGACATAAATAGTTGTAGACATTATGTAAGGCACTGTCATGTGGTAACGGCTTTGTTTTGCTGATCAAGAAATTTGTTAATCATAAGTATTTCCTGAGTTATTTGGGTTAAATTATAGCCAAAATACAGTAGACACAGAGTTCAGTAGGTATATTTCTTAGGAATAATTTACAAATAATTGCTTGAAGCCCACAAACACATGTGCGACATATAAAAATAAACTGGCAATTGGAGCTGAAGATGGTCATATAATGTACTTTTGATGTTAACTGAGGAGACATTTATAAGCAAATGATATTATATTAGGGTTGAAATGGTGAAGACAAATGGTATAAACCTTCAAAACTGACAAAACCTCATACCAACACATGGAGCTCCACAATTTAATATAATATAAATACTAACAGTCACAGACTAATTATAAAGATGGCGCCATGCCAGCGGCAGCCTGATGCAGCAGCTCCCCTCTGTGTGTTTTAATTTTAGTCTTTTTTCACTCTTTCGCATTTTTTAATACTTAATATTTTTGGTTACTCTGTTACTTTGCTTCTTGGTGTGTCTTGCTGCTGTAACATACAAATTTCCCCCTGGGGATGAATAAAGTACATATCTATCTATCTATCTATCTAATTACTCCTTTTCAGACCTGTGGAGCACTTTAATGTTACTTAAAAGTGCAGTTAGGCCTTCAGCGGAGGCCTAATCTATCACAGCGAGTGCTTTTAGACGCTACAGTTGATTGAGAATCTTTCGTTCAAATTTCTCCATGAAGGCAACGCTCTAACAGTTTTACAACTATAAGACCACCGGCTGACAGTCAACAATAGATCCCCCCCCTCCTCAAACACACTGGAAAAAGAGGTCTAACTGCCTCCTCCATTGTCTCACTTGTCACCAACATGTGAGTCTCTTTATTGGGGGTGGTGGTGGTAGCTAGATGTGAAAAGCAGTAGAAGGAAGGAAAGTCCTGTTTTATGCAGTTTAAGAATTTCTACAACTTTCACATTTTACAGTGAGGGTTATGAGTGGGACATCTTGAGCTATATGCTAACACTAGTTTGGTCAAAATGAAGTTGTTTTTTTGCACTTAAACAAAGATATATAAGATAAACAAGATATAATGTGTTAATGAGCGAGCTTTAGAGGTAAAGTTCGCTGGACTTTGTTACTTTTGGACGTAACAGGGTCCCTGTTTCCAGCTTTAAGCGGAACTAGATAAGCTAGCTGGCTGCCGGCTGTAACATTTTAATTTATTTACTGTAAATTACAAGTGAACGGTATCAATCTTCTCATGTAAGTTAGCTAATTATTGACAAGGAAGTGAATAAATCTAATAACAAAAATGTCGAACTATTGCTTTCATAAACATGCATACATATGTGTTGACAGTCTGAGCTCAGATGACCTGCTGACCCAGGAGCTGCCTGAAGTATAGGACAAACTCTCCTCTCCGGGTAGCTAAGCGTCGATGGTGTGTGCAAATGTCTAACCCTTTTTAAACTGCAGGCAGCTCCGGGCATGTTTTAATATCCACCCACTTGAAAGATTATCATGTGAAAGGAAAACTATGTCCTGACCACAGAGGCCTACAGGGAGATAATGCTGTTAAAACCCAAAGAATTTCTATTACATGTTGCTGCAGCTGAAATTCGTGATGTATTTGGTGCCTTCAGGAATCTCTCAGATAACCCTGTTTGCTCTTTTGTATTCATTTATAATAAGTAATACTCTTAGCCAGTTTTTGTGGATAGTTGTTCTGTTTTAAAGTACAGCGTGTACTTATTCTATCAATCAGTATCAATTCAGATAAACTGGTCTCCTGGTTAACAAGTTGTACTAAATGGTCTGCTGCGCCCCCTGCTGGTGTTCCCGAAAACTACTTTGACTGTCCAGGGAGGATAATATTAATAATTTGATGTGAGCTGAGATATTCAAATCCAAAAAGAATCGACTGAAAATTTGCAGGAGGCTGTTTATGATAATATCAGGTGATTAAAATGTACTTAAACATGTTCAAGCATTTGTGTATTTCAGTTTGTGGCCTTCATTTTGAGGGACATTCATTTAAATGTTGCTCAACTATCACGTTTAAGAAAATATATATTCTCTGTAAAATAGACAATTGGCTCAGTTTTAACTTTTAATCTGTAATATTGTTAATGTGTTTTATTGTAGAGCTGGTTCGATTTATATTGATTAGTGAATAAATTATCTCTACATCAAATTACATCCCTAGAGTATATTATTGTGTGTTTAAAAAAACCAAACAAACATTAAAAGCACATGAATGCCTGTAGCTAACAACTAATTATTTTTAATGTTGAGATCACTACGTTATATTAGCTATATTAAATTACATAGATGTATTTCCAGAAAACTTCCAAAGAAACTGTAGACCTGTAAAATAAAGCATTACCTACTGACAGCAGGTACCAGCAACTTTAAAGAATTAAATCACTAAGTTACATTTTCTCTAATATACCACTTTTAGATCAGTTATGACTCTTTATATTGTAATTCATAAACATCTCCTCAAACAAAGACATGCACACAAATGAATGCTACAAATTTGACTGAGATTTATTTACAGTAAAAGTTTTACATGGTCAGCATTGCAAAAACAAACAAACGCATACAATAACATTTACAACAAACCTTTACACATATGCACACTGACTTCCTCATCCCTTTTTTGGTTGAGTTATATTAATATTAAACAATACAGGAACTTTGTCTAACAATGGAAACGGAAAAGTTAACAAAGAAAACAAACTAAAACATCATGTCTCCATATCTTGAAGAAATAGTTTTAACATTTTGGTTATTATTTGCGTTCTTGACTATACTTGGATAAAAAGATTGATACCAGGTTGAATATAATGCTACAGCCCGGCTCTGTCCAAAGTGAAAAGAAATCTGTCACCACCACCTGTGCAATTAGTTTTTGTACAGATTAAACACAGTAAAACAAAATGTCAACCAGTGAGCTTTAGAGGTGCCAGTTGTCGGATTTTGTTTCCTTCAGACAGAGCCGGGCTAGCTGTTTCCCCCAGCTTCCAGTCTTTATGCTAAGCTAGCCGTCTCCTGGCTCGAGTGACATGTTGAACAGACAGACATAACTCTCGGCAAGAAAGCGAAGAAACATATTTCTCAAAATATGGGATTGATTTTTTTAATTTGGAGGTAGACATGCATCCTAAAGGTCAAATAAATAAAAGC